ATATTTATTAATACCAAAAAGACAGAGAAAGGCAAAAGCTGGTTGTTGGAGACTCTGGAAACACTTACCTCCAAGTCTGCTGTAGCTGCTAATTTCAGCTAGAAGTTTGCAATTTTTTCAGGAATGAAGAACTTGGGCACAACTTCTCTTCCAGTCCCCATGCCAGTTTCTGTCCCAGTCCCAACCTGGCTTGGACAGTGGCTTGGTGAAAGTTACTAGTCTTCCCTTTCAGCAAAGGAGAAATGAATTATTTCCTTGAGAAAACACCATCTATCAACAGCTGTGGCCTCAGAAATGCTTTGCCTATAAATAAGCATTCCGTATTAAAATATAGTTCAAATTATTTTTAAAAACTTACTCCCAAAGCTTATAATCTCTTCACAGACCTATCACTATTTAGGTTGTTCACTCATCTAGTAAGAACAATTTCACATATTCTAATTGCTTCCTTTGTTTTAGTTTGCTACACAAAATAAAGATGTGAAAGGGACTGAATAACTGCTTGAACAACCTGCTTTTTCAGAACTACCCTAGTATTCCTCCAAAATTCCCAGATTAGTCCTGGGACTAACAAAGTGCCTTATTTTGCACATGCTAACAGATGATGTATTATGTGAGTCACATGTTATTTTTAAATGTCAAAATTTTAATTAAAGAACCAGAGAAGTGATCAGTTCTGTAATTCAGAAATAAAATACAGAGGACAACTGTTTAAATGATCTTTATTGAAAGTCACTTCAAGGAGAAAAAAGCTGGCATTTCTTATCAGGTTGACTGGATTGTGGATACAAGAAAGAGATGCAGAAATCCATGTATCAGTGCTTTTGCTGGACTGTTCCAAATTAAGATGCCTCCACTGGAAGGTGGTCACATCTGCCTCATGCTTATTTCCCACCACTGTGAACACTTGCTGCATAAGAAGCTGGCAGCCCTTGGCATTTCAAGCATTGCAGTTGACAGGCAAGCCCTGGGAAAGCAGCGGCCTTGAGGAAACACTGGTCCCTTAGAGCCATATCTGCATGAAGGCTGTTGCTACCTTAGTGAACTAGCAGGAGCCACAAGATAAGAACTGAGGATGAAACCTCTGTGAAGACACCAATAAAACAGAGCACTGATGATAGCTTGATTTGGGGATATTTGGGAGACCTTAATTCCACCTTTTCCTCCGATCCTACTGTTAACATAAAACTCCTTACCTTGCAGGGCAGAGGTTTAACTAGGCTGAAACTCCCTTCTAAAACAGCTGCAAAGGTCAATGTTCCTGACCCTCAGCATGGCAGGAAAACCTAACATCCTTAAGCATGGTGGGATGCTTCCCATGAACTACTAATCTACATAGAGACCTAACTCGTATTCAGTAAAGTTTGTTCTAAACAGTGGATCAAAATGCCTGTTAAGAAAACAGAACAAGTTTAAGCTAACTTTGCTTATCTGTAGCTTGAGTGGACACATCTAAATGAAGGCTTGCAATTACCTTCTAAGGGCTTGTTTAGACGTGGCAGGTGATGGCGATGAGAATACAACAAGCATTCAAAACACACTGGCTAGTCCTGAATAAGTCTCAGAGCACAGAACTTCCTCCAGGGCATTGCTCTTAAGTTAGGCTGAAACAGTTTGTGCTTATTGCAAAGTGTTAGGGTACACACACACACACACACACACACTCTTAAGTGCAGTTATTTCAGAATAAACAGGAACATGTGTAGATGAGCCCTGGTAGATGAGCTCAGGACTATGGCTGCCTGCAGCTGTGATGAGAAGGGAGGGCTGGATGTCAGAACATGAGTAGGACACTGTGCTTACACACACTCTGCAACAGAAGCTGCTAGCATGGGGTGTGGAGGGGAGATCCCTAGAGCCATCTTATCACCCCATTCTTCCTCTCCCACTAAAAACCTCTCCCCAAATACAGCGACTAGCTTTTGTAATGATTTAGCTCTAGCTATTCCCCACATCTTACTGTCACAGCAGCTTTCCTCAATAATTGGATTAGAAAAGAAAGCCTCCAGTTAATCCAGTGCCATAGGCACTGGCCCAGGCAAAATGTTTGCCAAAATGTTTTCAATAAGAATAGATAACATTTTAAAGGCAGTTTGGTTAGCCTGTACAGACAGGAATGTGTTTAAAGACTTTTTTTTTTCAAAATACATTGTGGCTCCTTGGCTAAAAGCTACAATTGCCCCGCTTAGGAAGAGGGAAACAAACATCCTGCCAATTTAACTTACGCACAAACAACACAAACACTTAATCCTGACGGCTGCACATTCATCATTTAGCTCAAAAGCTTTTTTTATTATTATTTTGCAGAAGAAATGAATTGTTTGTGTATTGTCAGCACTAAGCAGATAGATAAATATGTAAGCTGAAATGTTATTTCTAAAGTTATTTTAAATATTTGGGTTGTCCACTTAAATTATGTCTAAATAAAGTTACTGTGACTTTCTTCATTTCTTTGAGGGCACAATAAAGCCACACTTTCTGTCATTAGATACATCAGCATTTCATGGCCAGGCAAATACACATGGCAGGTCAATTAGCATACTAGGGGTTTGGGGTTTATGTAACTAAATCTCTAACTTTATTGGGGACTGTCACTAGACTTCCCATTTTTTTTTTTTTTTTTTCTTAAGGGAGAAAAGTAGCTGTGTGACTAAACACCTGGAATTTAGGCTTTGGATGACAAAATAAGCCTTAAATAGGTACCCTCATCAACCAGTTCTGCCTGACCTGCTGTTTCAGGGACTGTCAGAAGACCTTATCTCAGTGATAGAAAGTTTTATTTCCTGTTTTTGGGGTATGAACTTGGCAGCAAGGGAAAACTGAGTGGAATCCCAAAGCTTCTGTACTTGGAAAACCTGCGTTTAAAGCATTAATGGACAGAAACAGACTCTTGAGGCTAAATACCTACCAGATTACCATTTGCATTATGATCATCTGCCTTTGTTGAACAGAGGACTTGTCTACTCAGAGATGCAAGAAAAATTAGGAATCAAATTCACAGGTTAATGCTTTTATACGCATCAAACTCTTGAGTAAATGCACACTTTCAGAACCATAGTGGCTCAAAACTTACTCCTTTAATTTATGTGCGTTCACTACACAGCTCTGATCCCAAATGAATTTTCCCAAGTTGCTCCTGATAACAAGACTCAGAGTTTGTCTACACACAAGAGTTAGGACTGACTATGATGGTGTTTGAACCTAAAGAATAATGCTTGCTCCTAATTATTTATTCATTATGAAGTAAAAAGGTATGCTCCTGATTAGCTTACCTCACTTAGGTCCTCTGCACAAGTCCTTATGATGTAAGCTAAAGTACCCACTTACTGTGTGTTAACAACTCTACATACACAGACAGGCCTAACAGGGGAGGAAGAACAATTTATACTATAATGGACATCTAGCTTAGGTGCTCCAAGCTGCAACTACATTAATACAAAAAATAACCTACAAGCACATGATACAGGAAACTACTAACACCAAAAGCAAAGATACTTGAAGCCCAAACTTGTCTTATCTCACTCCAACTACTGAATGGATACACTCATTTTAGAGATCTGGCAATCCCAGAATCTTTTTCAAGACTAGGGAATAGAAGCCCTAGAAAAGCACTATAGATGAACCAAGGATGCAATTTGTTCTGCTTACTGGGAAGTAGAGTGCTACAGAATGATCTTCAAATACCTTGTTTACGTGACTGTAAGCTTAGCATCATTAAGATAGGAGCTTTCTGAGAAAACTTTCCTCAGCTGCCTACCCCATCAGGTCATTACAGCAGGACAGAAAATGACAAGAGGTGCACCCATGTCAGCTCACCTGGGTTTAACAGTAAAATTCCACATCATCCTAAGGAATGAAGGCAAGTGTTCCTACATTAAGTTACTAGGCTAAAGTATTGATTTAAAACTTTTACCTGAGCTACTTAGATTGTATTATTTCACCATAAAGTCAGTGTAGTTCATCAGCCACAGCCCTGAAGAGACACAGCAGTTTTCATAGTTTCTGACCAGAGTGTTAAAGGAAACACTCAGCATCATGTGGCAGTTGCAGCAGTTTAGGGTAATATAAACAGGAAATACCCTGGTTCCCACTCCATCCTTAGGCACAAATCTTCTCGTCCTGCTTTACAGGAGTCACCCATGCAACTGGGAAGCCATCCAGTCAACAGAAAACCCTCTTGGACAGGTGATTAGCTTCTCTATGTGCCCCATTTTTTTTTAAACAGTGGGACTAGAGATGAAGTTTCAGTATTGTTTTAAAAACAGCTCATCTGTATCAGAAAAACTAACAAATTGAATTTTTCTGGAGGCCTGAATTGAATTTACGCTCAGTCTCCCACTTTGCAAGACAAGCACTATGCAGACTAAAGGTCCTCCCCAGAAGCACTTAAGCAAGTCTCACCAGATCTACAAGGCATCTGGTATTCCTTTTCTCTATATGTATCTATGACTTTTGAATAGCACATAAAAAGTTTTAGAAACATACTCAGAGTGCACCAGCCACAAGCCAGCCCTCAGCCACACAGTTGAAAAACTGAGGGAAAAGGTAGTAACCTTAGAGAAACCAGGATAACCACACATTCAGTAATTAAAGGAGAACTCTGCAAGCCTTGAAACTTGCTTTTTAAGTAAGTTGGTAACCACTGATGGCATGATGCTTTACAGAACCTTGGTATTATTGATCAGCTTCTTGTTTTTCCTTTTCAGTCACTCTAATTAAGTGTCTTAAGTATCAGTACATCAAACTTTTAAAGTTGCTTCTTAGTCTGACACAGCAGTAAAGTTTGAGACATCTTAAAAACAAATGTGCAGTAAAATGATGCTATGTAATAGAATGAAATTTGCTGTATTTGCTCTTAGTGACTTTGCTGGGAGTTAATTTGGCTCTGGGGAAGTCATTAAAAGACTTTTGAAAAAGAGCATGGAATTTGGAGTAAGGGTTAATGTAAACAGTTTCTTCTACTTTCAATTAGTTTCCAAACAGAGTTAACAACACTACTCTTGACACAGATACCAATTTTTTATTTTATATATGTTATGTGTATGCAGTAATAACTACAGCTGTACTGAAATTACATTTACTTTTTAATTCACTAAAACTGCATCTAGCTCAGGTCATTTTTTCCATAGATCTGAATGCAGATCTATAGAAAACCAAAATTAATATTCTTCAACATCTCTTTGACCAGCTATTTCTTCAAAGAGTTTAGACGATAGACAAAACCCTCAGCTCCTACAGCCTAATTTCACAGTACTTACCAATAGAATTAAGAGATTACACTGTAAACCATGTAGCTGATGAAGTGGATACAGGAATTGAGACATAAATATTTGATCTGTGTTGATACTAGAGAGCTGCAGAACAGGCCCAAGTAGTTTGTGTTAGTTCAGTCTTTAAAGGAAACATTCCAATCGCTGTTTTAAGGAAAAGGTGGCTCACTTTAATAACCACAGGCATTGGTCACTATTTAACAAGACATTCTAAAAAAGTAATCACAATTTGTCTGATAGTAGTTTACAAGTGGATGGTATACATTAAGATACAGAGGTAGAAGTTCACTTTTACAATGCTTCACTAATACAGATTACCAAATTCAAGGCACAAAATTGTTCGCTTTACAAAAAATACTGTAAAAATGTCATTTGCTGTTCTACAATGTGAGTACGGCTCAAAAAAAAGAAATCTTTACAACCTTTCATGTTCTGCACGTAGAGTTGCATCACGCATTATTCTATTTTTCCTTTGCTAATAATTGGAATATGACCAGCACTTACATAAACAGTAAGTATCTCAGCTAAACTGCTTTGTCTTTTAGGCACAAGTCCAGTTACAGAATTTAACACAACAGCTTCCTTGGGAGGTGGGAGAACTCTTTCAGAAGTAAGAATGAGGAGGAAGAAAAGAAACATGTAGTCCACAACAGTAAACTGGACTCTGACATATAAAGGGAAACAGAACAGAGCAGATTTCAAATCAAGGTACTTGAAAAAAGTCAGCTTAAATCACTGACTGAATTCCTAAAAAACCAGATGCCCACTACAACTTTGCTCTGACAGTATGTAAGACATTCATTTGCCTTTGAATCGGCAGACTTACAAATTTCTTTTAATCTTTCTTTAAATAGAACAGACAGTTGCAACAAAAGAGAATTACACCACAATTTGGCCATGTGTCCTTTAGAGAGTTTGGGTGAATGAGTGAAGAGATGCGTTCAGAAACTGTCCTTGAATTTACTATAAGATCATGAGCAGTAGCTTAAATGACCATATTTCCCTCCCCCCCCCTTCCCAATTAACATAGGGGAAGTCAAACTATTTCTGAAACATTGCATCTTCTAGTTGGAGACAGCTCTGAGAAGCCTTGCCAGGCTAAGGAAGAGATATCACACAGTGCATCCCTACAAGTCGTATGGCTAGTTTACTGTACATACAGTGATATTCTAAAGGACAATGGTGGCAGCTACATCGTAAATTCATCTGACTTACCTATCACATTTCCCAAGTACTCTAGTCAGTTTTATTTACAGTATATAAAAACGCACTGATTTTTAGAGTTCAACACACAGGTTTAGGACCCAAGAGAATGCCACATTAAGATGCTGACATTTGCATCTGATAGATGCAAGTGCACTTTGCAATTCAGTCATGTAACATTATTGCATTCACCTATAAACACTAGTCCATCCAAAACTATTAAATTCCATTTTTTGCTTCATTGTTGTTTGTAGCCTGTTTCCGTTGAGCAATGAAAGGATACATACACTTGTCTGCTCCCAAAAATCGGTACATGCATACAACTGCTTCAAATGGCAGAATACTGTGAAAAAGAGGTTATAAATTTGTTAGACAGCATAAAACAAAACCTTGGCTTATGTATACTTGTAAGTATATGCACTTACATGTACTATGTACTTGGTCTCCTTAAAAGCAACATAATAGCTATTAAGTCTTAAAGACTTAAAGGATTTTTATTTCACAGGGATACTTGGAGAATTGAAATTCTAGAGACCCAACAACACAGGCAACCAGAAAGGAAGAAGCTGTTAGTTCAAATGCCTCCAGCTTAGACCCGCTTTTCTGTTTCTTCACAAGCAGTGTGATAGCTTGTTTTAAAGAAGTGGGGAGGAAGGGGGTGGGGTGATGGGGCAAGGGCATCACAGAAGGTCTACTCAAGGCAAAGCATCTGCTGAAAGCCACATCAGCAGAGGTCATCAGACATTTAAGATATTCTTTAATGTGGGATTAGTGTTAGTTAATGCCATTCTTTGATCACCAGATGTCTAACAACCTTGATTTATATTCTAAACGCAATCATCCATCCTCAAAAAGAAAGGTCCGAAGTAAAGAGAGCAATTTCCTTTTTTTCCCCCCTCCAGATAAAATTCCAAGAGGTGATTATGTGATGGGTACCTGGTTACAGACCCTCCCTTTCTTCTCGCATGCACAATATATTGTTTTTATTTCAAGAGTAGCACTCAGAGGCTCTAGTGAAGGACTAAAATGGGATTCCCCAGCCCCTGGAAACAGCAGCAGACATTCAGTGGAAAGCAGTGCACAAATTCCAGCCATCAGGAGTAATGACCACTGAAGCACCAAGAAGTAGATGTCACTGGTACAGGTGTCCTCACTGCCAGCAGTACTCCTTGTGCAGTAGCGACTGGAGGGCCTTTGATCTAAAGGCTGCTGCCTGGGGCATGGATTATGCAGAAGCTTTGATCTCCCTGTTGGAAGCTAAAAGGGCCTTTGATGTGACTGTTGCTGCATAAGGCACTGCTTGTGCAGGAAGCACTGAAGCACCCTCTGAGCTTCTGCTTGAAGAAGTTAGTTCTTAAAGATACTGACAGTGGCCTTCATTTGTCAGCAGAATAGATGCATATATATGCTCTTCCAGAAAGAGGTTAGCAGTAAAGATTCCTCTATTCTTAGGTGAGCCTGTCCACCAGGAGAGACTTGAGGAGGAGAACCACTTTGTAAGTGGAATAAAAGTCACCAAGGTTCTCAGTTCCAACCATCCCTTGCAGAAGGAAAATAAGACAACACTATATTTTAAAGGTTCCCCCTATATATTACAGATTTAAAACAAAACCACAGACAGCTCTGAAGCTGATCTCCACAAACTAGAATGCAAGTGATGTTGCATCAGAGAAATTGAAGCAACTCCTGCATTACCCTGCATCATTAGTGTCAGCCTGGTTACAGATGAAACAGTTTCCATCCAAAAAACTGTAGTGTATTAGAACAAAAATAGTAACTCCTTTAAATAGTCCTTCCGCAGACTTCGACTCTGAAAATTGGTTCCAAATGTGCAGATTTTCAGTTTATCTACGACATTTGTGCAAGTTCTGGAGAATCTGCAGGCAGGGCCTCCTACACACTGGTTCTAGATACAAGTGGCTAAATGTTAGTCTGCTGCCTCGTGCCCCATTCCTAAAGAGAATCTCAAACAGTGGAAATAAAAGTCTGTTGAAAAGAAAATAGGAATCTAAGGAAGATGGGAGATACCAGAAGAGTAAAACAAGGATGCATAAATACATGGGATCTCAGGTTTATGGAGCTTCCCATGCGAGCAACCTACAAGCATGCAAGCCAAGAGAGACTTAGGAATTCTAACAAAACCACACCCATGGTCTGTGTGGGTGGGTGTTTATATTCAGGAATTGAACACGCTCCTGTATTTTACTAGTATTTTGTGCATTGTATTGCCAACTAACTGGGACTTCAGCTCTTACCTTTTCATGAAGGTGACCATATACATGAGGCGAGGTGTGCAGATCATTGGCTGGTCTGTAAGGATAGCTCTCATAGCCTGCTTCACACAGTATTCTGGTTTCAAAGGTGGAAGGAAAGGCTCAATTTCTTTTCTGAAATATTTAAGACAGATTGATATGATACATAAAGGACCACAGACCTCAGTGAAGAGTTCATTAACTCACTTTCTTTGGAACTTCTTTACATTCACTGTTAAATTACAAAGACTATAACTCAAAAGTTGCATTGCCTATGTACAAAATGACAGAAGACAGCAAATTCAGAAATTCTCTTTCTTGAGTAACACTAACATATACTAAAGCAGATATTACATTTAATATTTTTTATGGTAACAGTTGAGTTACCTTCAAATACTTTTATGGCACTACAAGCACAGAGCAGAAGGAGAACTCTACTCACCTGATCCTGCACCCTCTAAACATTCCTGTATCTACAAGATAAGGGCAGACTAAAGTAGTTTTGATTCCGTCCTTTTCAGCAGCCTTCAATTCATGGCTCAAAGACTCATGGAAACCTACAGCTCCAAATTTGCTGGCACAATAATCCTGTGTTGGCAATGAACGAAGCAAAAAAAAAAAAAAAGCAACACAGAAAGGACAGATATGAATGAGGTTCAAAGCCAGCATACCTGAGGTGATTCTGCACAGATTTTCAAAGCAACAACAAAAGACACCCACTGAATAGAGCATCACATCAACTCATTTACCACTTTACTTTTGAGGCAATTAGCCCAGAATCATGAAAGCAGGAAAGCTGAATGTAGGAGGATATTACCTTGGATTCAAGTCTTTGAATCAGGCAGGCTTGCACGACAAGTTACTCCAATTACCAGTTTGCTTAATAATAAATGGTACAACAAAGGACTGAGATACCTAATACTACCTTGGGTCAGATTTGAAAACACTTGGAGAGTTGACACAGCATAGGCATAAAAATCTTAATGGTGTTATTTTTAAGATTAGTCTCAACAGAAGACATAATGGAGTTTTGAATATTTCTTTGAGATAACATACTAAATTCAGCAAAATAAAAAATAATTGCATAGACAGCAGTAGCATTTGAGTTTTCTGTTGGATGTGTCCATCTCTGCTGATGGTCACACCCACAGGAAATTCTTTGTAGCTTTCTCAAGACAGTAAATACTCTACAAAGGCTTGAATTACACCAGCTTCATTCATTTGTGTTATGAAACACTGCGGTTTAAGGCCCTGGATTGAGCCTTACCTGTATGCAAAGAAGCCTGTGTGCTTATGAGGTAATATGACCATTATTATTTTAGACACATTAATTAATTTTTACTAACTGAATACTTTTTGTTCACACTTGCATTTGTACTAATGACTCAAAAAGCAAGACAATAAGTTCTAATCCTAACTTGTTTTTATGCACCAAACAAGTCTCACAAACTGGAGTTCTCAAACAGCTGCTAGCGAAGCAAGTGAGACATATTCTAGAAGGTTTACAGCCATTTCCTCACAGAAACAACAAACAGAAAACATCACTTTCTAAAGCCTTTGGCTTTAAGCTTAGCATTGAAGATCTTGCCAGGAGCAGGTGGTCAACTTTCAAGTTACTAAATTTATTCAAAGATCATTTAGCATTCTGAAACCCTTAGCTGTTCTCAGCTTTTGGTGAGGTGGCAAGTCCACCATCCAAGTAGATGAATGCAATGGCTGCCTGAGTCCTGAGGGGCCATGTGTTGACATGCTACCCATCACCATAGCCTCCAAGTATCTTTGAAAATTTGACTTTATTTTCTCTAGCTGATAAAATTAAAAAAGGTTATCCTAACCAAGAAGTGCCAATTTTTTTATAAAGTATAGTCTAACAAACCTCCACTCCAGCAGTACTGAATAATCCCAAGGAACTTGCAACTGTCACGATGTGTCCATGGTTCATTTCCAGCATCTTGGGAAGGAATGCTTTAGTGGTCTAAGAAGTGAAAAAACAAAACAAAACACACACAAACAACATAAACAAAAAAAAACTCAAAAAACCCACCCCAAAAAAAAACCAAAAAACCAAAACAAAACACCCAAACCATGAACAAGCTACATTAGTAATAAGTTTTCAAAACCTCTATCTCGTTTATTATCAAGAATATAAAAGTACAATGATTGTACTGGTTTTGAACTTCTGAGTTTGTCAAAAACGTCAACAGAAAATCTACAGCTTGTTTGTGAATTCAGACAGCAAGTCCACAAGGATTACATCTCCAGAAAACCTAAGGTTAAAGGATCAATTGAGTTCAGACATGTTTATTTTTCTGCAAGAGACTAGTTATCAGAAAGAGATAATTTGAACTTAAAATGGAAGTCACATTTTTTTAACGACAGAAAAAGGAATGCAAAGTGTTTAATTACACCATCCAGCACATCTGTTGAGACCAGCACCAATTATCAGTTCTAATTACTGACAGTGTTTTTTGTAAGTTAGATATGGCTAGTTTTATCCAAATAACTTATCACCTTGGGCATTTTACATTAAAAGAAATACTAAAGGCAGAGTTTTTGCTGATGTTACTTTTTACTTACAATACAATAAACACCTGCTAGTCTAAATTATTTTCCATCTTTATTAATATCCATAAACATCACTATAACTAAAAAGACAAGATATACATTTGTTACCAATTCCTTAGAAGTTTAAAAATAAGATAAACCCAAAGCAAGTCTCAAGATGAAACTTTCATTTAACCTCCAATTTTTATGTTTTGATTATAACAAAGTTTGTTTCTGACCTGAGTCAGAGTTAATACCTTTAAAATTTAAATTTTAAGCAACAAATTGAAGGTACTTGCTAGAAGATCACCCCTACTACATTATGTACCTTTGTCATATCTCTCTTTTGAAGCTGACTCAACACTTTCTCATTTAAATAAGTATTAAGCAGAGTGCCATATGTGCTACAAAAATCAATGAAGTAGTAAAATGGCATGTGTAGTTACAATGTACTTTGGTTTCTAGGTTGTCAGTGTACCATATGAGATCACTTTTAAATTGCCCAAGAACTTCAGAAAATGCTTTTTAACCACAGACATGCCTAGTTAATATATCAATCTATTAGTGACAGAGCTACTAGTCTAACTCACTCACTACAACTCAGTTTAAACCTCCCAGAAACCTAGTCTGCCCATGTAATTTGTATCCAAACTCAGAGCATGAAAATTTGCTTAATTGTTGGTCTGAGTAGTGTCAGCTGCATTCTTTAAAAGACTTGCAAGCTACAGCTGAATCCATCTAATTCCATTCTTAGGCTGTCTGCATTTTCCAATCATAGACGTCAGGACAGTTTTGCTCTAATGATTTTCACATGTTCCTGTACAACATTTTTGCCTGCAGGTGTTAAATGACTAATCCAGACCTCCTAACACCACACAAAAGAGTGTTTTCACTGGACAGCTGGCAGATGATAGAAGATTAACAGACCTCCTGACTCCTTGCCTTTTCTGCTGTTGTTTCATACAACTCCTAGATTCTGTCATAACTACAAAACGAAGCTAATTATAAAAAAATAATCAGAGCAAGCTGCCTTGCATTTGTTTCTTTCCTCATGGCAGGGATCTCTAAACCCCTTGTACTGAGCCTTGGACAAGAATTCAGTTTGCTGTTAAACTAATCTGTGCCAGGCACACAAAGTTTCAGCCTCTCTTCCCTTGTTGCATGGCAACAAAGCCCAGTCACCATTGGGCAGTGCTGACTGAAATCGTAAGAGGCTTCGCTTGGATGGCACTGAACTTTTACAGAGTGCTCTTTATCTGGAACCTGCCTTGCACACTCCAACACCAGTGGTGTGTACACTATCCCAGATGCTCTGTGCTATCCCTATAAGATATCTGTGCCCTGACTCAGTCTTGCTAAAAATTTACTCCCCTCCAAAGCATGTCAGCTCCATCATCAGTTTCCACTTATGTCTCAGCTATCTGTCCACATCACATTGGAATGACTGATTGCCACCTCCCATTGCAGAAAGCTTGATAATGCAGACTGAAGCTCTGGCTACAAACCACAGCAACTACAGGAAAGGGGCAATTGCCTTGAGTTTTTCTTGGGGGAGAGAAAGAAGGGAAAGAAGTAGCAGATAGGTTTTTTTCCCTACCACTTTCTAGGCATGAATCAATGTTTTCTTCCAAAAGATAAACAGGCAAGTGCACCAAGCTATAAAGTGCACCTTTACTATAGCACTGCTTTTTTCCCTTCTTTTTTTTTTGTTGTTAATATGATGAACTATAACTAGGTGTCCATAAATGTCTATATTTAGCTATGGCTGAAGAAGAGAATTTTCAGTCATATATATAAATATGGGAAATAACCAGAACAGTAAATTGCAGAAAGCCTACTCATCAATGCTACACTGCTTGAAAGCAAAAAGATTACAAAATCTGAGTTTTCAGGGCTTGTGGCTAAAGTAACTCATTTTCAACTAGAAGAAATTGGCACATGATGAATAAAGCCTGTTGAGCACACTTTTGGGTGACGTCTTCGGCATCTCAAGTGCAGACTGAACAACTCCCAGGGCAGAACTATAGTCACTTCATGTAAGTCATCTCTTAAAAAGTCATTTATGGCCACATAGGAAAACACACAGCTCCTCTGCTCCAAAGACAATTAGCAATTCATAGAAATCTTTGCATGAGACCTCAGTGCTCTGAAGCAGCCTGTTCAGAGCAGGCCCCTGTACTTTATCATGGGATATTATCCCACAAATCCATTTAAAACCTGAAGCTGAGGCAGCCTATAAAGATAGCACAATATCATATGTAGGAAACTTTGCAGTCAACTATCAACATCTCAGATAAATGGGTGTTAGAGAAAGTCATCTCGATTGCTGCCACCCTCCAGCCATCTGCAGCAGCTGGGAGTCAACACTTGAAAACAAGCACTGTCAGAGGCAGACACACCCTATGGGGGGGATGCATTTCCAGGCTCAGAGTAATGGCTTGCCCATTGCTCCTCCCAGCCTCCTCTCGCTGGGAAAAAACAAACCCAAAGTGAAGTTATTCTTTCTTTGTATAAGCAAACCCCAAATAAATCAGTGTTCTTCCTGAGTTTCTGGCACAGCACACTTTCTTGATCAAAGCACCTTTCTCTATACTCTGGTCCCCAGTTTTTCTGCATGTTACATAAACCAGATCAACCTAGTTTCTAGTTTCTTTCAGCTTCAGCTACATCTGCCTACCAGACCTGAAGTCTACTGTGTTCTTGTTGTGCTGCTGAGAAACTAGTTAAGAGTTTGACTGGTTTGGGGCAAGATGCCTCCTGGGTGGCCTTCCCATCTGGAATTTGTCTGAACAGGTAGCACAGCCCACATTAGTCTTTGAGGTGATGCATGGACATGCTAATCCTCCATTAAAAAAAAAAAGTGTTAGAAGATACCAAGCAAGAAATGTGTTTTGTCCATGGCATTAGAGGTCATGAACTAGGCCCCCAAAATAATTCAAATCAACTCAAGTGATTTAATCAAACTATCTTTCTTCTGGTTTGATCCTTGAGGTTTTAATTTTACCTTTCACAGCTGCAGAGGAAGACATTTAAACAAAACACTGAAGTACTTTAAGCCAGAGCTAGGCCATTTATTCGTGACAAACATACCAGTTTTCAACATTGAGGAGAAACAAATAAGTAGAATATAATGGATGAAAGGAATTGTGTTGTGATGCATCAGGGTGAAGAATCAGAGAAGTTATGAAATATTCAACATCAAGAAATGCAAGTTAAGCATCCTCTTCACCCAGAATTAGCTTTTTTTTTTTTAATTTAGGAAAGAAAAAACCCAAATCCCAAAAGCATAGTGAAAACATGAATTTTCTAACCTGCAATGTACTTCAGACACACAGAAACTAGGTAGGATGGATAGAACATATGAAGCTGTTCTGAACAAAGAGTAGAGCTAGTTTTTAAAGTTAGTTTAACCTGTAAGTTTTTTGGAGCATAGAGATCAATATCTTCTAAGCATATTCCTCTATGCTTCTGAATATACCAGTAAGAACAAACTATTCCCAGTAGCTGTAACCAAACATCTATTTCATGTGCACACAGCTTAAATGACTTATTTCTCACAAGTGTGAAACTGAACAAGCATTTACATGTCACTTCATAGCTTTCGTAATCTGTTCTCAACATTTTGGTTTACGGCAAATTAACTTCTAACAGTCTAGCACTTCTTCCCTCCCCTTCCCCAAATTCTTTAGTTCCATTCTTAATGAAACAAAACTCAAAAGATTGTGCAACACAAAGAACAGCACAGCTGCAATGTCAAGACAAATTAGTCTAAATACAGCAAATGAGAATATGAAGAAATACTGTGTTTGGGAAAGTGATTTTTTAATTAAATTTTGGATTAATTATTCTTAAAGAAGAAAGCAAGCATCCACAGAAAACAATGTTAGCTGTATGCAGCTCAACACAATGGATACTGAATGCAGAAAACACACCAAAGTAGAAAAGTACGTGCTACCTCACGTTTAGAGAGTTGCCTTTGTATCAAGGAAAGAAACAAACAGGTACCAACACGAGGTCCTTTAAGTTTCTATTTTTCAATACAATAAGTTTCTTCATACTTTCTGCCTTCTGTCAACAGCCTTTTTAAACTATTTTGATGGCATAAGCAAACTGCATTACTGTAAGGTAGGAATCCCTTTATATCAAAGGAATAGCTCATTTTCCACACAGCTCCTTCAGGTAAGGAAGATGGAAAGCATGGGGGGTTTTTTGGGCTTATCTAAACAGATGAGTTTTTACATCACTAGTTACCCACAACAGTGGCATACTGGTATAACATAGAGGATATTTCCTCCCAAGCCACAGCTACTCCTGACTGCCAGGGCCGCTGCCTGACAGCACAAATGCATGCAACATTTGGGTAAATGTATTGTTTCAACTTCATGTTAAATACTATTCAGCCAGATCCAAGAAGCAAAACTGGTGTGGTTA